AGGATTTTGTGTGTAAGCAGTTGAAAAAACATGTATAGGGCTTTGGCATCCCTTTAGAAGATAATAGTGTATAACAAAAGCCATTACTAAAACTTCAAAAAATCTGAGCAATGTGTGTGATGTTACTGAGATCTCTCCTGAGACAAGTGTGATGAAATTGCTGTCTTTAGTCAAGGAGAAATGTCTGAGCAAGGTGTGTGGTGTTATTGTTATCGAGATCTCTTAGAAACCTTAAAGGAGACAAATGTGAGAAATCCAGAGGCTCTAACTGAGGAGAAAAGTCTGAGTGTGATGTTATTGAGATATATTATACATTTTAGAGGAGACAAATGTGAGACCATTGGGTTTTTTTAGTTTAACAGAAAAGTCTGAGCACAGTGTTTGATGTTTCTGAGATCTCTTCTGAAACTTTAGAGGAGACTAGTGTGAGGCCATTGGGGTCTTTAGTTTAGGAGAAAAGTCTGAGCACAGTGTGTGATGTTATTGAGATCTGATCTCATCTCAAACTTTTAAGGAGACACATGTGAGAGTGTTAGAGTTTTTGTCTCAAGCTTAAGTCTCTATTTGATGTTAAAGTAACCTCATTTCTATCTAGGAGAAACTTTTAAGATATCACTATTGATTTTTCTTTCCAATGGGTAGGTGCATAGTGTTTCTTTGCAAAGTGACATCGCCAACTACTGGCCTGGCATGCATAACAAGGCATTTTTTAGTCATTTTCTCGAATCCTCAAAAACCGGGATTATTCTCTTTCTAACATTCGTTTGGTATCTCACCTATGGGAACACCTCCGCCGTGACTGATCGCAGACATACCAATGACACCACGTCTGACAAACGTGGCAGCCCAATCATTCTCACTCTCTTTCCCGTGGAAGATTTTCAGAAGCTGTCCTCAGCAGATTTTGGGAATTATTTGTTTAACAGTTTACTTACGTAACCGCAAGGTAACGTCCCTAACGCAACAGTTCCTAAAAGGGATAGTTCACTTTGAAATTAATTTTTGATATGTTTTTGCTTACCTCAAGGGCATCCGAGATGTAGGCGTCTTTGTTTCCACAGCATTTTCAATTTTGACATTTTTTGGTCAAACCGTTGTTGTCTGTCAGTCCTTAAATGCAGTTTTAGGGGGTCCACCTCAAAGAGCATGCACAGAGAAGTCAAAATTAAACATGATTTAATGACTCGTGAATGTAAGTACACACTGATGGCCTAAGACACGAAACGAGCGGTTTGTGTGAGAAAACGAACAGTACTTATATAGTTTTTACCTCTTGTTAACAGCCGTCGAACTGATCTGAATCAGATGTCCAACTGAACCAAACTGAACCGTCTCCAGACGTTACGCCGGAAGTGATCTCTCTGCGTCTACGTCACGCAATTGTTTACACTGAGATTTTGGAGAATCTCCGTGCCAGTTTAAAAGGCTGCATTGCAAATCCTCGTCACCAGAAAAGTCCAAAAATAGATCGTAAAAGGAAACGTGACCAGAGATTACAAAAAAAAACACAAGTTAATGTCTGGATAGCTTTTTCCAGGTAATAGAGCTAATGCAGGAGAAAGAGTTCAAAAGAGATGCTGAAGTCCTGCTTTCTTCTCGACAGGTAAGGCAATGTTACAGTCCTAATTTACAAGCTTTTTTTCATTGTTTGGTTGTGTACTTTATTATATAGACAGATGAACATTTATAGTTAAAAGTTGATTATGATATCTAATGCACATAGGCTACTTGATAAAATATAACGGATAAAGAAGGCTTAACTACTTATTACAATAGTTCATGTTTTTCACAATCAGTAATTCATACTGTGATATTAGTTCATTCATTGTGTCAGGTTGCTGTTTGTTTGAAATAACAAACCTGTTCACCTGAAGGAACACTCCAGGAAGTGCTAATCCTGTCATAGCTTTTTGGTACATAATAGTTACCGTAGATGCAACGCGTATTTCAAAGCAAGGCGGTGGAGAGCACAATTCGTCTGAATGCAAAATCCATTTTAACCGCTAGATGGCAGTAGGGTTGGGTATCGAGAATCGAGTATCGATTGGAACCGAGACCAACTTTTTGTTTTTCCCGGAATCGTTCAAAAGTTAAAATTTCGATTCCTAGTTTCGATATTCACAGTCCGCCGAGCGGAAGAAGAAACCACCACGCGAGTCGAACATGAGTAGCTTACGTTGGCGATCCAAAGTGTGGCTTCACTTTTCTAAAAAAAAACAAAATCTCGGCAAAATGCAAAATTTTTGACAAAAGGAGTATTTTTACAGAAGGAGTATTTCCTTCAGAAAGGATTATTTCCTTCAGAAAGGCCGTTGGTTAGCAAGGTTAGCTAAACTTTTTTGACCCTGCCTCTTAAAAGAATCGGAATCGAGAATCGTTAGGAACCGGAATCGAAACAAGGAATTGGAATCGGAATCAGAATCGTTCAAATTCAAACGATACCCAACCCTAGATGGCAGCAATTCTTACACATAGTCCCTTTAAGCAAAGTGGTGAAGACTTGTGCATCTCTCACGGGCTGGGGTGTGCTATTCGAAGGCAGAAAATTGAGAGGAGTTTAGTCTCCTGTACTTAGGGAGAAGCCCAAACATTTTCTAGAGCTACTGACAGTGAGACACTTTGAGCATTTTCTCAAAAATCATCATGTAGGCCTATTGGTCAGCACAGACAATACAACGATGTGATATGTGATAGCCTACATAAATCATCAGGGTGGAGTGCGTTCTCACAAGCTTCACACGCTAGCGAAATAACTGATTATGTGGAGCAGCAGCAGGATCCTCCTGTGATTATGCGTGATAATTGGAACCCAAACTTCATCAGTTGACATCTTGGAGTCAGAGAAAAGCAAAATGTAATGCAGTTTAATTAGAATTAATAGTATGGAAATAGAAACATAATAGTATAGATATGCATTTAATGCATCTTATGCCAAAAAAAAAAAAAATAATAATAAGTTTCTTGATCTCGAAATAACATTAAAGTCCCTGTAAAGGCAAAAAAATTATAAAAATTAATACATTTATTCTAAAATAAATAAATAAATCAAAAATCAAAATTATAAATGTTAGAAATGTATTGCTAAAACATATTACAAAGACTGTAAACTGTAAAGTATTGAATTGTTAAGTTAGACCGTTAAACAGTTTTTCACCATTGCTATTTTCCTGATTTTTTTAGGGGGCGGGGGCAGGGCTAAAACAGGGCTCGATGACGCACTGGAGCCCATTAGCTCATGGACATGCCCCAAGTTACTGTCAGTAGGCCTTCTATTGGTTACTACAGCCTACAGTTTGCTAGCTAGCTATGCCTTCGACACAGAAATGCGTAGGCTACTACCTGGATGCAATCATGTACAAAACAGATTGGTGTCTATATTTAAATTTCCTAAAATCGATCACATCAAGAAGAGGTGGATTAATTTGTGAAGAGCCAACCTTGATGGAGAGCTGAGGATCAACACCCGCCTCTGTAGTGATAATTTTATATGGAATAGTTTTATAAACTTTCGTCTGAGACAACTGGGATTCACTGATAATCCGCTGTCACTGGTGAATGGAGCTGAACCGGCCCAAACAGACTATCTCCCGCCTCGGCCTTCATCCACCCGTCCTGAAAGCATTGTCACTTAAAGTGTATTGTCATAGCATTTGAAATGTTCCTATTTTTGTTTGAGGAGTTTCCAAAAACAGTTTAACATGCATGCAAGGATAAAAAACACTTTATTTGTCTTATAATAAGCATTTATTTTTAACTGATTTGCTCACCGACTCCCAAATGATTCGTACAACGACTCATTTTTCCAAACCACTCCTTTGCGTGACGCTAATCGGCGGTGATTGGTCTGATGACAGACCCAGTCAGTTATTGTTTGTTAGCATAATGAAACATTGATAAAGCACTGCAGTACTACAAGACGCTCTATTCTTTATGACAACTCCAATAACAGTGACAAACATTTCACATATTTAAAAAAATTTGACATTGGAGAACTAGAAGCTGCGCTGAGCGTAACTTACACACACACATACTGCCTCACGCCCGACGCAACAAAACCGTTCAAAACCCATAAAAGCAACAATTATTAATAATACTTAGGTTGTGATTCGAAGGAGGAAGCTGATCCATATACACTGGGTAAGTAAGATACTGAGCCCTCCTTCAGGAACAACTGCTTGTGAATCCACATTTGAATTCATTTATGTTTTTGAACTAATGTTATTCGTCAATAAAATGATGAGAACACAATCGGGCTTTACTGTTGTGGTATCGTTGCAAATATGAACTCTAACCACCGATTCTTCACATGCTCGTCCCTGGTAAATGAAAACAAAGTGGCTGAACTATCTTTGCATTGTAGAACAGCGTCTTCTCGACATGATGCTATGATGAAGTATTTGAATGTGTAGACTTCAAGTTTACACTTCCATCTGCGCGCGCAGTAACTGGGCGGCCAGTATGTATCTACGTCACTACGAACCAGCTAACGACTTGTTTCAAAAACAATTCATTTCATAGACTCAAAGTCGACTCTCACTTTTGAAAGACAATAACTTTATATACGGTGCACTTTCAGATATAAATCTTTGCAGGATGTTTTCATTCCCTTAGAGCTATATTCCACACCATAAGAACAGTCATTTTCAAAAATCCATGATAGGGGCTCTTTAATATCACCATTGGCAGCTTTCCCACGAGTGGGCATGGTTTCAGCCCAGCCAGTGGACACGCCCCCAGCATTTGAGAGCAGAGAATAATGCAAATTTTTTCAAGATTTTGAAAGCTTATTTATGTACTTACCGGGTTTTTTTATCATTCAAATTTGGCTGGGTGGCCAAACACATTTTCTCTGTGGTGTGACAAACTCAGAACCGCTCAGACTTTACAGGGACTTAAAAAAAATGCATGGCTGGCTCTTATGAGCCTCCGTACACCGTTGCCCCGGATGAGCAGCGTCAATGAGAGCGCCTGCGCAGTCCTCAAATCTACACATCATACGGCTTGTCAACACGTAACAGCTGAGTCCTCTTTGGATGTTATACAGATTAGCTCTTTTGGCTAGCAGTACATTCACTCAAAGACGCACTCATTTAAACTCCCAGCTCAGCTTCATTCACAGGCCTGCTCAGTTATGAACATGACGCCGTTTTTAGCGAGTTTTATTTATTTGGCATTGTTATGCAGTTGGATAAGATGTGATAATGACACAGAAGAGGACGAGCACGCTAAACACACATACACGGTGGAGATGTTCAATGATGCCGTCTCTACTGCTCCACACTTCGTCATGTTCTACGCGCCCTGGTAAAACTGTACACCTTCATCAAACATTTCCATTATATTCAGATGTACATTAAGTGATAAATATATTGAGATCAGTGTTGTTGTGTTAGTTATGGGTTGAATTGCTGCAATGTTTGAAGTGGCTAAATCCATTAGCCACTTTAATCTGGTCTCATTTAAAAAAAAATGGAATGAAGTGGATTTAAAGTTTCTAATGCACGTTCATATAAATACAAAGCACAGCTTGTATTATATTAGAGGGATGTTGATGTTAATGGACTTTGGTGAAAAGTTTAAATTCCTGCAGTCATAAAGTTTTAGTGTAACGTGGCAGAGCAAGAACAGCCGTGACATAGACATCACTTCCTCCTCATCCTCTTACCAAAAAAAAAAAAAGTAACATGGAGATTTAAAAATGTGCATTGGTAGTACTAGGGTTTAATTTTGGATAGTACTATGATGAATACAATGTTGTCGTTTTTAGTTATTTTTGGGACTTTTCCATGATTTAAATATCACTAACAAAAACACCTCATTTATTTTTTGCGTTTTTGTGGGGTCATGTATGGTAGGTAGGTAGTCCCATTGAATTATTTAAAGTACTTAGGAGTACTATGTAAATTTTATCTTGCATGTGTTTGATACCATTGTAAATGTATCTGTTATACTCTCACTTTACCAGCATTAATCATGTTAATACCATACTGTAATAGTTACAAAATTAATTAATGTTTACTTATTACCCACAAGCTTGGCTGTTGCATAACTTTAAAATGCTTTCATGAACTAAATGTATTATTAGGGCTCCAATTGGAAGGAACTACTAAATAATATTCCTTGATTTTAGTAACATTCTATGCTCTTGATGTTCTGTACTTTGTGTACTTTTAAATTGTAATTTTTTTTATTACCTTGAAAATGATTCACACGCAAGACAATTCCCTTTTACTTGACCACTGAACTTAACTTTAGCAAATTTAAAAAGTTACTTTAGTTAGTTATGGCCCATTGCTCTCTTATGCTGTGAAACCTTTTTTTAATATGTGATGGAATAATATGTAATGTAGTATGCTATAAGTGTTTAATTGTGTTTGTGCAGGTGTGGTCACTGTCAGAGGCTGCAGGGAACGTGGAATGAGTTGGCAGAGAAGTATAACAGTATGGAGGATCCTCCAGTGTATGTTGTGAAAGTCGACTGCACAAAAGACACTAAGTTTTGCTCCAGTGAACATGGAATCCGTGGATACCCAACGTAAGCGATATTGCTCCTTACAGTACTGTATGTTATTACACATCATGGTCCCCAAACAAAAAAAGACACATTTTGAGATGTCACATGCACAGAATGAGAGTAAAAATTATTCAGATGTTGTGTAGGCTAGTGTACTTTGAACTTTACACTGAACAGCCAAATTATGACATGTTTGACTTATTTTTAGAGCTATTTTACAGCAGAATTGAATTCTGTTTGCAATGCATGGGTCATTATTCCCTCGTTGTACTCTGCTGTTAAAGGGTTAGTTCAGCCAAAAATAAAAGTTGTCATCAATATCTTTTTGATAAAATCCGAGAGCTTTCTGTCCCTCCATTAACAGCGACTTAATTTTGTTGAGATTGTAAAACTAATCCAAATGAATCAATTGGCTGAGTCCACATTTTCTGAAGAGACACATTTATATGATGAGCAGATTGAATTGATGAGCAGGCTTTTATCCACATATTAACATTCTCACATATCGGTTATGGTAAACGGAAGCTCAAGCGTGTTCGCTTGACGTGCGAGAACCAACGATGTTCATGTCTGTTACACAGCGCGTTTGAGCTTCCTCAAAAACCAATGAGGTTTGTTCTCACTCGTCAAGCCAAGTTCGATTGAGCTTCTGTTCATGTTCACTGATCAATGTTATTTATAGCTTTATTAATGTCATTTATAGCTTTAAAAAATGATCTGCATTGAATGAAGCACTTTATAAAGGTGACGTGACTTGACTAGTGTGTGTGTGTGTGTGTGTGTGTAAGAAGTTTATATGGATGATTTATAATCACCTGACTTGACTGTCATGTGCTTCAGGTAAAAGTTTAAATATGGTTTGATTTAATCATTGACTGACTAACTTTGTTGTGTTTCAGCCTAAAGCTGTTTAAACCTGAGCAGGAGGCTGTGAAGTATCAGGGTCCAAGAGACCTGCAGGCCCTGGAGAGCTGGATGCTGAAAACCGTGCAGGAGGAACCTGAAGTAAGATTACTAAACTGATTCAATTTGTAACAGATTTAACTTTTTAAAGACACCTGGCGTGAGTACTGGACAATAACCTCTCCCTTCCAGCAACATGTCACTTACAAGATCGCTGCAATAGCAAATTATGACGATCCAAATAATTCCCAATGGATAAAATCAAGTCTCGCCCTTTTTTTTTTTAGAATAGGAAATGACTTTTGCCACTCAGTGTAATGCTGACTTTAAAAGCACTTTGTGTAGTTCTTGGTCTAGGTGAAAAGGCCTGTTCACAACAAGGACGATAACTATATAGAGAGATAATTCTTAATCTTTTTTTTTATTTATTTTTTTTTATGGCAGGGGGCAGATTGATCTGTATACATATGACAGACATCTATGTTGAACATGACCATAACACGCATTACTGCAGGTAGATAGAGACACAAGAGAGACAAACAAACAGATCTTCAGGATCAAGTAGCACTTTGAGATTTCGTTGAAATGTAAAGTGCACTATAAATAAAATGTATTATTATTATCTTCATGAACACCTACACAATACTGTATCATGCATTATTTAGGACCTTATGGGCTAAAATCTTTCTAAATATAAAAGAATAGCAGAGTCCACACCACAGCTATAACCATAATGGCACAGAGAAACAATATTTTTGGGATTCCTTTCGGAATTTTTTTGAATGATAAGAATAGCCAATAAGAATCCATCCTGCGTTAAAGGGATACTGCACTTTTTTTGTAAATAGGCTCATTTTACAACTCCCCCAGAGTTAAACAGTTGGGTTTTACCGTTTTCCAGTGCATTCAGCCGATTTTCTGATATTTAGAAGAATATCAGTAACCAGACAGTTTCTGGTCTCATTGACTTCCATATACTATGGAAGTCAATGAGACCAGAAACTGTCTGGTTACTGATATTCTTCTAAATATCAGAAAATCGGCTGAATGCACTGGAAAACGGTAAAACCCAACTGTTTAACTCTGGGGGAGTTGTAAAATGAGCCTATTTCCAAAAAAAAAGGGGAGTATCCCTTTAAGGAGCTTGAGCATTTAAAGCGGCAGATGACATAACTGCAGAACGAGTGTAAAAGAGGTCAACTAGTAAGAGCTGTTCGAGTGAACCTCACTCCCCTGGCCAAAGAGGTGCGCTAGAGGCAGAGATGTTCACAAGTCATTTTTTGGAAGTCCAAGTCTCAAGTCTTTCAGCTCGAGTCCAAGTCAAGTCTTAAGTCTTTGAGGGCAAGCTCAAGTCAAGTCTCAAGTCTTTTGCCATGAGTCCAAGTCTCAAGTCTTAAATTATTAGGCATTGTCTAATTAAATATGTGCGAAAAAAACGAAATCTGAGTAGCCTATTAGATAAAGCCAGGTTTAAAATAATTTTTTCATTGTGTTCACATACAGTAATAGATGGGGAAAAAATAGGTACTTAAGGATATCTACTTTTGTTATCCTGTTATCAGATAGCCTTAAATAGATTTGCGTTATGTTACATAAATCAAGCTAGGAATAATATATTTACAAATCCATCTGTAATAGTCTTCATAATAAAACTAGGTACAAGACTGGACAGTTTGGTGTATTAGGTTTGGTGTATAGGTGCTACTGAAGTGGAGATTTCAGACTTGGAGTTTGAGAGAAGTCATTTTGAGAAAATGCAAAACGGCATCTAAAGATTTCCATCAGGCCAATGAGATTGCTCATTTAGAGTTAAATCCCCCCTTTTTACTTCCGCGATTGGTTGCTGATTAAAAGGAAATGACCATATTTGGATCCGACAACATTGAACTGGAGGGGGAGGGGGGGGGGGGGTTCTAACAATGTCTGTGATGACGGTGCAGATCGCAGAGCAGCGAGATGATTTACAATGCCAACTTTTGTTGAATTTATGAGAAATCTACAGACGCAAAGTCAATGGAGACGGTTGGATTGTTTTCCCCCGCTGTGGGCGTGGCCTAAATACGCTCTGTCTCATGCACAGTATGACAAAGGGCGGGGGACATGCAGCTTATCATACGCTTCCCCAACGTTTGCGCCAATAAAAGAAAATAGAAATACATTAAAATTAATTTAGATTTAAAAAGCAATAATTACATAAACAAGTTGCTGACAAGTCTTTTGGGTCGAGTCGCAAGTCAAGTCTGAAGTCTTTTGGGTCGAGTCACGAGTCAAGTCTGAAGTCAGCTGTTTGTGTGACTCAAGTGCAACTCGAGTCCGAGTCTCAAACTCGAGTCCCCATCTCTGGCTAGAGGCTGTGGTCTTTAGCATCCTTGTTAGCGTGCCCATCTCGCATGATGGAAACGCTGGTTTGAATCCCACTCAGTCTGCTGGTGTGGATGCTAATAGTTATTGTTGTAGTTATCTTTATTGTTTTTTTTTGTTGTTGTTGTGAACGGGGCTTAATTCTAAACTGTCACAATATTGCAACACTTGTTCTTATTTTGTCTTTCACCCCAGGAGCCCCAGAGTGAACCCGAGCCACCCAAAGTCCCTGAACCCAAACAGGGCCTGTATGAACTCACAGCCAATAACTTCAAAGCACACATCGCTAAAGGTAGTAGCACACTGTCAGTCTTTATGTACACTATTTAAGAAAATATTATATAGTAAGAATATATCCTTGCAGTTGAATTACATAGTGATATGTCTTACAGTATTAAATTGGTGGTTAATGGGATAGTTCACCCAAAAAATGTTTAGCTGTTACAATTTCGTTCATAGCACAAAAATATATATTTTTTAAATTCCAATTAATCCATTCATTGATAGACAAAAAAAAAATATATATATGATTCCAGCTTTTTCGGAATATCAAATGTGTGTTCTTGATGTAAAAAAAGCAAAACAATTAGGTTTGTTCTCGCATGTGACACTGTTGCGTGCTTGAAATATGTAAACAGGATGATTGCGCAACATTTAAGTGAGATACAACTGTTGCCATGAGAAACAACCAAGAATCAGAAAAAAATAATATTAAATACGTTTTAATTCAAAAGGTGCAAATGATGTTACAAAACACATTATTAATGTAAAAGAAAGACAAATAATCAGAGAACCAAGAAAACAAGTGTCGCCAAATCAGTGAAATAAGCAAAACATAATTCCGATAACTATTAAAAGGGGGGTTGATTGCGATTTCACTTTTTTCATTTTACATAGTGTGTAATGTTGCTGTTGGTGCATGAACAGTATCTGCAAAGTTGCAGCGCTGAAAGTTCAGTGTAAGCAGAGATATCGTCTTTTAAAAATCAAGAAGCATATTGCCTACAAAAACGACTCGATTGGGACTATAGCTGGGTTTTAGACGTCACTAACCCACACATTTGAATCAACCCCTCCCTCCGGAAAATGCAAAAAAGGCATCACCCAGCTGTCAGGCCTTCTGTGTTCAGCCTTCCCACGGACGCTGTACTTCGTAACAATGGATACAATTTATTTTTGATTATGTTCCTGAAAATGACGATCGTAATTTAGCTCTCTGTGCTGCGCATATTATGGAAGACAGCTTCCAGAATCTCCACAAGTTCAATGCCGGATTCAACAAGAAACTGTTACTAAAACATGAAGCAGTTCCAATTTTAAAAGCAGTGGCAGCAGTGTTGGGCCACAACCTGTAAGTACGCTAAGACTTCATAATTTTAAATGTATTTGCATGTATAATTCCAGACGTAGCCTTGTGTTTTATTTTTCTTCAAATGCCAGCACTGGCTTTATAGCCACTAGGCTACTAGTTATTATATTTTGTGTCTACGACAAACGCGTACAAACATTATGGACCTGAATTTTGTATAAGTACTACTGTTGTAAATGTATTTTTCATGTATATATGCTTTATGGCGTTATTTTCGATTTGATCAAGAACGTAAACTAATGCCAACGCTGTTTGTAAATAACGTTAGTAGCCAGTCAGTTGCTATTTTTGCCAGTCATACGCTATTGTGTTAAACAAACGTGTATAAAGTTATGTAGCAAATTATCATTCAGAAACGCTTAGTAAGAGCCGTGTGTGGTGAGGTTCTGCTTGCCTCTCTTCATCGCCGCTTTCTCGGTCTGATTCTGCCTCATTCTGATACTGCAGTTCGACACCATTATTTACATCTTGACCGGAGCGCAGGGACGTTTGGCCCATAAAGGTAATGGGCGTTAACGGACAACGTGAGTGACACTTTACCCAATCACCACGCACCAGCCCAAACTAACCAATCTGAGCCCACTGCCTGTTTCTGAGGGAGTGGTTTCATAGACTCAGGAAGTCAACTGGTCGTTCAGGGGACAGAGGAGAGCGCGGCTTACAATAAAGGTGAAGTTAATGAAAAATAAGACTTTTAAAAAAAGAAAAACCACGAATACATGTTATGTTGCACCCCATAAACAGAATCATGCAAAGAAAAAAAGCAGTAAACCACCCCTTTAAACCCAAACCTCTAAAACTACCTACCAAAAGAAAAATGCAGAAACAAACCTGAAATCTTCAGCGTATATCATGCCTTAAATGAACTGCGCTGACTAAAACAGAAAAGATAACCCTAACTAACAAAAACAATGCTATCTACTAGGGCTGGGTAATAAATATCGATTTCTCGATATTAATCGATTTCCATTTTTACGAACTGTTATCGATTCTCAAGAATCGATTAGTCATCCTGTTTCATTTGAATGAATGGGACATTGTATCGCGGCTGCGCGCATCCAAAAATCGCAATAATCTTTGTCCTTTGTTACTATTGATATGAAACAAAGTCTCAATTTTCAAATTACGTCCATTTTCTTTAGAAATTCAAAAACATAAATAGTGTTTTGTGGCGTTAGATCGCTCTGGCGCAGCTCAAGAGAAGCAGCAGCGCTGATCTCACTTCCGGGTTAATAATACCAGTTACAGCACAAAATTAACAAATGAGCATCTGAAAGTGTGCTAAAAGATAGAGTACAACTTATCGAAATCCATATCATGTCACATTGATTCGCTCAATCAGCGTTTCAACTGTGGAAAGACGTCAGTTAAACAGCTTGTAATCAATGTCATGTATCGTCATATTTCCCTTTAGAGAACCCACATAAACTCGTCAGTCAGCTAGAAAAAATATCTCTAGAGAGGAGCATTTTGCTAAATATATTACATATGCATTATAATCTTAATGTTCTTCAATATTTAATGCATATTTGAATAAATCTGGCAAGTTTTTAATGACAGACACCATTTAAATGTTTATATTTCATATAATCTTCTTATTATAAAAATAAATAAAAGTGTAATTTAAGTGTTTGTATAGCTACAAAACAGTTCATTATTACCTTCATATTAGACTAATGAAGCCTAGTAGGCTACAACTAGACTCCCATAGTTTACAGCATATAAGAGATTTGATTCCCTTGAGAAAAATTGGCATTTATTGTAACTGATATCCAAAATAATCGATATTGAATTGAATCGTAATCGAAATCGAATCGAATTGTGAAATTTGTCTCAATACCCAGCCCTACTATCTACCATTGTTTTTCAAGATGGACCTCTAAAGGCCAACAATCAGTAGAATACGAAATCAAGAAACAAATGAAAATCAAGTCAAAATCCTAAGTGGTTAGCTTCTACCTAACAACACACCACGTTTGAATCAGATTATCTGCATACAATACAGGGATCAGTCACATGCACACACCAGCACTTAATACTAGTTTGAAGTGATCTAGCGCTGAAACAGTGCATTCTGTCAGAACAGTACAATAATAGATCAGCAACAACAAACCCGAAGGTGTTTTGATTTCGAAACCACTGCATAAACAAACATTAATGTGATCATGGTTGAATTGATATTTTAATGTTGAATGAGATCAGTGGGGCCTTTTAACCTGCCAGGCAGGGGATTTGTCGAATTTTGTTATTTATGATGCACAGCTGTATTTTCCAATGATCATAACATAAGAATAATTTATGACAACAAATAAAAAACAAAAGCCCAAAAGAGAAAATACAAAAACACAAGTGGAACAACACGCATGTATGTTTGATCTTCGTTTGGCCATATTTGATGTGGTTATGTATGTAATTTGATTTAATGTTTATATGTGAATTTAAGTTCAATTTAAATCCGTTAGAAAGCAATGCGTATCTCTTCACAAGACTAGGAATAAACTGATTAATATGTATTTGTTTTTGATTTTTTTTTTGTTTGTTTGTTTTGTTTTTTTGGTGGCCTGGACTTTCCACTGAGGTGCAGAAACCTCTTAGGTTACATAAATATCATTTTAAGTTGTGTTTCAAATATTAACTAACATTTAGTTTTATGGGTTTGGAATGACATGAGGGTGAGACAATTATGATATAATTTTCATTTTGGTGGAAGTTTCATGATACCACTAAGTTGTATCTACTTTTACTAAAGATAAATAATGGGTGTATTAAATTATGTAAAGGTATTTTTGCATTTCGTCTCTACTTCCCTTTCAAAGCCTGAAAAGGTAATCAGTGTATGTGTGTGTATATACAGTTTATTGTTGATTATCTTTTCTGATCTGCTTGTATGTTTAAAAAAAGGTTATCCAGTAATTACAAACAACTGGTGGAAGCACTCTCTTTTTTAGCATTTAAAATGTAGCCTGTTTTGATGATGCAAATTAGATAAAATGATAAGTGTTTCTTATACAATTTTAATTAATTAACATAATATATATATATATTTTAACATTATGAATGGGTTTAGCAGGAAATAGCACATTTTTTTCATAGTTTAATTTCAAAATCATCAGGATATCAATAGCCCTTGTGTTCTTCCCATAATTTTCTCTTTATGTGAATTACTCTTGTAGTAGAGGTGAATTGTTTCAGTTTCAGCCCTTTTCTCACCCCTTATTATGCTACATGTTCTGTCCGTTTGCCAAATAGCTGATTCCTGTTTTGAGGAGAGGCAGGAAATGATGCCGTTGCTTTGACAGAACTGTTTATGTTTCCCACTTTCAGATGTTGGAAGCACATGTAAAAGATGTTGCATAAACCTAATGTGGTGCTCACCAAGTTTCTCCTTTACATCTTTATTTATTGTGCAGTCATTTGTGTAATGCTTAAATCAATATACTTCCACATTCAGAACTGTACTGTGTATACGTTATGCATTTCAGTTGAAATATAGCTCTAACGTCATATGGTGCTGGGTGGCAATGACTGTTGAGTAGGGTGGGTATCATTTCGAGTTTGTAACCCTGTCGTTGTCCTCGGCAGGTTCTCACTTTGTGAAGTTTTATGCACCATGGTGTGGGCACTGCAAAGCCATGGCTCCAACATGGGAACAGCTCGCCACCAGCTTTGAGCATTCAGACAGTGTCAAGATCGGCAAGGTGAGAGGCCGTCATGGTTTCTCTCTTCATTTTCCACATTGTAAATTTTCGGATTATTTATCAAATTTTTTTTTTTTTTTTTTTGCTTTCTAAAGGTGGATTGCACACAGCATTATGAAGTGTGCTCAGAAAATCAGGTCCGTGGTTATCCCACGCTGCTCTTCTTCAGTGATGGAGAGAAGGTACGGACCTCTAGCGTAGCAACATTTTTTAAGATGGATATTAAAGGAGTAGTTCACTTTTGAAAAAACATTTTTGCTGATAATTTACTCACCCCCATGTCATCCAAGATGTCCACGTCTTTCTTTCTTCATTCGAAAAGAAATTAAGGTTTTTGATGAAAACATTCCATGATTGTTCTCCATATAATGCACTTCAGTGGGAACCAAACGGTTCAAGGTCCAAAAGACACTTTCAGTACAAAATGCAAACTGTTCAAAGGGCTTTAAACGATTGCACATGATGAATAAGGGTCTCATCAAGCGAAACGATCGACCTTTTGTGTGTTGAATGATGTTTAACACACAAAAGAGTGGTTATCAGGTCATCGAGGCCTCGTCCTGCTTGCCACAACCCTGATTTAGGGTTTTAGTAAGTTATAATAAACAAGAAAATGAAATCGAATTTTGCAGCCCTAGTGTTGTATTGAAGCATCCATTGTAGCATATAGTGTCGCAAAGCCCCGTTCGCCTTGATGTATTCATGACCTGTTTAATCTTTGAAGGAACTTTGCTTGCTCTCCTGTACCCATTCATGGTCCCACAGTGGCTAAAAATCCTGTGGCTCTGCTTTCTAATGTAACCATTTCCCAAACTTGCTCTATAGGCCTAATGGTTTGAGAATCAGACTGGTAACCCGAAGGTTGCGGGTTCGATTATTTAAAAACCTGCAGGAAATGACTGGGGTGCCCTTGAGCAAGGCATCTAATCCCCAAAAACTTCCCGGGAGTCACAGTAAAATGGCTGCCCACTGCTCCGGTGTGTTTGTCCACGGCTTGCAGGATGTGTGCGTCCACTTCTCACTACTCTTAATGTGTGTGCTCTAACTTGGATGGATTAAATGCAGAGGGCAAATTCTGAGTATGGGTTACCATACTTGCCCTTCATGTGTCGCTTTCACTGATAGGTTGAAATGTAAAGAGATTGACAGATCTATGCAGACCGCTCTTAATGTTTTGATTGTTTACACTTTGGGGGAGATAAACCTATAAATGTCATTCTAATAAAGAACAACAAAATGGGTTAAGGGAATGTATTTTAACAAAAATCTTGAAAGTAAAATGTAAAAGTTTTTACTAAACTGACCCTTTGATCTAGCCTGGATGCCAGCCCGAACTCCGCCCACAACATGTTTTGGATGGGGAAGTTCGGTCTGGACTCGATCCATTGAGGAGTAATTATGATCGGTTCAGAAATCATCGGGCCAATCAAATTGCCAGGGCGGGCTTTATACGATGATTGACAGGTGGTCTTCAGTAACGTAATCCTCATGTCATCAAAGTGCGCTTGTCAAAGATGACTGCAGCTGGAGAATCGACAGTGCATTCATTTTAATAGACAAATAGAGAACTGCAATCAAGGCATTTGTCGATCGGAAAGATATTTTTTGGCGATTCGGGAAAAGTGTAACTTATCAGCTGGCTCTGACGGTCGTTAAGAAGATGGGACGTAATGAAAAGCCTGTGGTCGTTGTGGTTTCTCCTTTGGTGGCACTCATGGAGAAGTAAGTAAAAGAAGTAACACTCGTTATGTAACTTCTAAATTAAATAAAGTTACGCTACGTTCTGTATTTGAAAACTGCGCTATGCAAAGGAGTTGACTTATGCGTTGCTCTGATTGGTTGGTAGGTTTACCGACTATCCAATTAAGTGCAGAGGGTTTTTTTTTGTCCTGGTTCGGTTATGACACGCCTCATAATCAAAGCCCAATGGAGGAGTTTCAGACTCATATTCTTTCTTGAATATGAGTATGACGAAGTCAGGCTACTTTTGATCAATTTAATGCATATAAAAAAATCGTACAGATCTCAAACTTTTTTTTTTTCAAATATTAATTTATTTCTACGATCTCTATGATTTTCACCTATGATTTTCATCCCATAGGCTTGTGTTGGGGTTGCCCAATCCATATTTAGAGACCAGAATGCAAATATCACTTGGCAATGCCTGCAAAACCATGATGAAATATGCAATTACTGTTTACACCAAACAATAATGGTAAGCTGTGCACATGTACGTTTTCAGGTCGATCAGTACAGAGGGAAGCGCGATCTGGACTCGTTTAAAGAGTTTGTGGATAATCAAGTGAAAGCTGCTGAATCTAAAGATGAACCTGTGATTAAGGAGGAGCAGGGTAAAGAAATCCCTCCCAGCGCTGCACCTGAAGAACAAGAGGTGAGTGTCTGTTTAAGTTTTCACACAATACGTGTTTTGTTTGCAAATTTCCTGCTTGGCACCATAGAGATTTCATTCGTTTGTATGTGCGGGCAGATGTTTGAACAGCAAGCTGCAGACTTTGGCCCGTAGACACAAATCTGCATCTTGAAACCGAGGTAGTAATTATGGGCAGAGCAGCTATTTCCTCTTGCTGATGCAAATGTGCATATGTGCGTGCGCTTGGGTTGGTGGGCTGGACTGGAGGGGGTGGGCGGGGAACTTAAAGAGCTGTTATTTTGTTTTGTTAATTGGCTTTCCTGTCTAAGCTTGTCTTTTATAAAGGGATTCTGGCTGGCTGGAATTGTTGGATGGCTAAAGAACGTCCCTCAAGAGCTGCATCATAGATATTTTTTCAGATTGAGGATAATTTTTAAAGATTGTAAAACGTTAGACTTGCTGATGCCTTTGAGATGAGACCTTGCTCTTAAACGGTGTTCAGAACTGGTGTTGTAATTAAGGAAACTAGCCAGTTTCCCAGAGAGGTAGTTAAACTTCAGCAGGATATGATAACCTGTGGAGATTCTCTAGGCATTATGCTATGAGCAGGGACACGTTCAAGTTCAAAACAGTGTGCAACGTTTTGCTACGGTTTCCTAGTTGAACGTCATGTTTCCAGGAAACGGTGTGCACCGGGGTTTGAGATGTTTTCTCTCGTTTGGTGGGTGTGTCAGAACTGCAATCCAATCAGCAGCAACATGTATATAAAGCACGCGGTATTAAAGTGAACTCGCACAATGGGTTAAGGAAAATAATTTACAAATGTGTTCACTGCAGATCGCTATATGCCACAACTGAGGATATTAGAAGATATGTTTGTCAACATCAACATGATGTAGTTTATTATATTTTTTAGCTTCATTGCAAGTGTATGACATTTGGTATCCACAAGTTTCCGAGGGGCGCTCCTGTAAAAAAATAAAGTGGGTGAAACTTCCGGTGAGGCGGCGGAAGTAGCATTCCAATGGTATTTTGTGTGTTAGTTAGCGAAGAGGCTAGCTGTTTTTCGGAGAATTATTTTACTATTTAAAGACGCAAATCTTTATGAGAGATGTCGTTACGGAGCTCAGGGACAACATGTGCTGTTCGCGGTTGTATGTATAGCCGGACTAAACTAATTTAGTGGCTTAAACGGGATTGTTTTGAACATTAGCTGAAAACGAAAACTAATTTAGTGGCTTAAACGGGATTGTTTTGAACATTAGCTGAAAACGAAATCAGAGTGATTCTGCCAACGACTGTAGTTTCCATCACCTCCCAAAAGACGACGAATCTTCCTGTGTACATTTGTTTAAATTCTTAATGTTCTATAAACTCTATCAGCATGTGATTGGCTGTTCTCTACTGATGTTACAGCTAAACTCAGGATCAAAGCCTGTGTTGACAGAATACCAAATGTGCCAGTTAATGTATTCAAGCAGCACATTCATTTATAATTTTGAATAAACTCCAAAGCACAATGACTAAATGTGTATTTTTTTATTTTAATTGTTTGTCAGCTGAGCTCGCACAACTGTCTGTCACCATGCCTTGATGAGTATTGATTATTAATAATGTTATTATAATACTCCCAATCAACTACTGCGGAGGTAAAGGTACTGTTATTTCACCCTTTTGAATTTCGTTGAGGTTGTGTTCCCACATCGTTAGCTAGTTTGGATCGCTATAACTTGAATGACTGTCAACTGTTGAATGAACGAGTGTCAAGCATGTCAAATCGTGCTTTGTTTACTTCCAACCGGAAGTCGCGCCCATTTTTGATGCAAGGCCTCATGGGGCGTAGGAAACTTGTGGATAGAAAAAAAAATTGTAAGTGTTTTTCCTAAAAATGAGAAAGAAAATAGGTTATTAAAACATTATGAAATACAAATAAAGTTAGTGTGTGAGGCTAAACAGAATGTGTTTTAGTCTGAATTAGGTAAGATGTGTGCTTTCAGTTTCCACAAATCCCTTCACTTGATTGGGATGTTCTCTTGTGTTCTGGGCGGCAAGTGCAGTTACTGTAACATCGGGTATATATTTTGTAATATTAAACACATATTTATACCGACTTCATCAGGCTCCGTAAATTCTTCACAAAGAACACAGAGAATGGCCTTATCGGGCTCCATAGTTGCAACTCTTGCGTCATCAGAACAGGGTGTTCAACGCATCACCGTTTCTATTTAAAAAACGTTGTGCAATGTTTTGTCCGGGCTGAATGCTGAATACATTTTACACCATGTATAGGAATACATGCACTAAAACATTTTCATTTTGTTTCTCTCAGTCTAATGTTCTGGTCTTGACTGAGAGCAACTTTGATGAGACAGTTGCCAAAGGACTCTCCTTCATCAAGTTCTATGCCCCATGGTAAGTGTTGGTAGTAGGGTCTCATTTGACATTTCGACTGGTAATTTATCAGTGGTCTGGTTTAGTGGCAGGTGGGACTTGCTGAAAAATACTTACTTCATACTGTTGTTTGGGATATAAAACCTAAGCAGCATCAGTATTAATATAGTAATATATTTGTAATTAAAATTATGAACTATTTTGAAATATTAAGTATTTTCTGTTCAAATATGACGCAAAATATAAACTCAAAGTATACCCAAATAGTAATTTCAAGGTGCTTAAGCTAAACATAAATTAGAAATGCTGCCTTCCCAATTGACTAAAATGTTTTTCATCTAAGTATTTTAATTCACCAAAAAAAAAAAAAAAAAGTTTATATGCTCGCTTGACTTTGAAAACGAGTTCATGTTAATAATAGGAGATTGGAATGACTAATTGGCTGTTTCCCCATTATGATGTTTTATTTACTATTGGTGTAGGTTGCCAACACCACTGTCATCCACTCGAACAACTTGATGGAAAAGCACCCAATTCCCATTTGTTTGTTTTTTTGCAATCTTGCGAAAAGATTCACTTCATGTGTGGCTTGAATCCCAGTTACTGAATCATTCATTCAAGCCATTTTTTTTAGAACATTTATTCAATTACATTGAATTTAATACAATTACATACAATTACAATTACACAATTACAATATTTAATACAATTACATTGTATTTTGTTTAATTGTTTATTTAGAATCGTGATTCCTATTTTTAAAAAAAAAAAAAAAAAAAAAAAACAAAGCGATTCTTAATTTATCCAGAATCACGCAGCACTAGAAGTGATTTAAATTCCATGTTTTTTTTTTTTGTTTTTTTTTTGTTTTTGGCCATTGAAAATAGTTTTGAAAAAGGCCAAAGCAGTATCAAGTGTATTGATACCAACAGTAAAACATTTGGTACCATAATAGAAATAACAGCTTTCATTGAATGCCATTTGTCAAATGAGGATCAGAACTGGTCCATGGATGAATGGGGACATTGTCAAAAATAGATTCTTAGTGTGTTTCTTAGTCAAAATATCTCAATATTTAGGAATGTCATGATTTCTCGATTAAATTCTAGCACTCTATTTAAACAAAATAAAATATATATATATATATATATATATATATCAGTCGCAGTGGCACATTCCACAGACGAGAATCCATGAACCGCATTATTAGAATGATTTCTAAGGCTGCACAATTAAAACCATTTAAAAGCCATACTACAGCGTAGTGCTGTGGTGAATTCCCAAAGACTGATATTCCCTGGGGGTTTAATATATGCACTTTATTTAATGCGGGTAGGAAACTCGGAGCGACTCTGTTCACAGCAAATGCTGCTCCACATGAACTGTTAATATTTACATGCATGAAGCATGTCTCAAACTCCATCTCTGCATATGCTGTGAATTTGGGTTGCTTATAATGTTCATCTGGAAACGCAATCTGCACCATTTCATCAGATTTGTAAAGCAAATCATTCATAAACCGATGCCAACATGGGAGAATTCATCAATCATTTTCTAAACATTCAAACTGTTCATCACGATTTTAAAATAAGTTTAAACCTACGCTCTGAGTTTGCATGTTTTGGTGTCCACATATGCTTGCTCAAGAAATTCTAGTAGCTGTAAGTTGTCAAATATTCCATTTTGAAACTTCACAATTGCTGTTTGTTTAAAATGGAGGTTCCTCTGATTTTTTTTTTTTTTTTTTTAGAGACGGATCAAATGTTATCAAAAGACTAAACGTTAAGATTATTTTTAAGCTCTATTGCCAAGCCTTGTGCACTGACAGACATGTATGTGTGTGTATATATTAGCTTGCACGCACATATGAACACAGTGTGCTTCCCTCCCCTATCTGTTCCTCTGATCATCTTGACACTTCCTTAGTAGCTGATCAAAAGATCCGCCTGTCCCTGATTGGCTCTTCCTCTGACGTTCAGCAACTCACGCGATGTGTCTGTGTTTAAGGTGCGGTCACTGCAAGAACCTGGCCCCTACCTGGGAGGATCTATCTAAAAAGGAGTTTCCTGGTCTGTCTGATGTGAAGATTGCTAAAGTGGACTGTACAGTGGAGAGAACACTCTGCAACAGATTCTCTGTGAGTGCCACACATAGTCTGGAACTCAAATTCTGGCCTGCTGGGGGAGGGATTGTGGATGTTTGAGGGATGGGGTCGACATAACTTCATATTAGTGGGTGAAAGTCATTTTTTGAACGAGGACATTCTTTAGCCAAAAGTTAGTGTGTTTCAAAAGCTAGTGTGTTGTCTTCCAGGAATGGAGATTTTAAAGGGACACTCTTTTTCTGGAAATAGGCTCATTTTACAACTCCCCCAGAGTTAAACTGTTGAGTTTTACCATTATTGAATCTGTTCAGAACCACCTTTAGCTTAGCTAAGCCAACGCATTCTCTTCCTAGGGCGTTATATAGTGACGCTTTTGACAATGCGTATACATCCAACGCACATGACACCCTTTAGCGTCACTATAACGCGCTTCGGTTATGGGTACGTTTATGTCTGGGGTAGGGTAAGGGTTAGACCACTAGGAGGCGCCTTCAGACCCATATATATCTGCGTCTTATATTGACGCTAAAGGGTGCCATGTGCGTTGGATGTATACGCATTGTCAAAAGCGTCAGTATATGACGCCTTGAGATGAGAACGGGCTGGCTTAGCATACATCATTGAGGTGGACAAGACCATTAGCATTTCTCAAAAAAATGGCCAAAGAGTTTCGATATTTTTTCCTATTTAAAACTTCACTCTTCTGTAGTTACATCGTGTACTAAGACCGACAGAAAATGTAAAGTTTCGATTTTCTAGGCTGATATGGATAGGAACTATACTCTCATTCCTGTGTAATAAATCAAGAAACTTGCCATAGAAAATCGCAACTTTACATTTTCCATTGGTCTTAATTCACGATTTAAGATTCAAGGTTTAAATAGGAAAAATATCGACACTCTTTGGTTATTTTTTTTGAGAAATGCTAATGGTCTTGTCCACTTAAATGATGTATGCTAAGCTATGCTAAAAGTGTTACCGCCAAAACCGGAGATCGGCTGAATGGATTCAATAACGGTAAAGCTCAACAGTTTTACTCTGGGGGAGTTGTAAAATGAGACGTATTCCAAAAATAGTGGAGTATCCCTTTAACAAATGATGCAGGTTTCGGTTCCATTCCATTTAGTGTTGATTTTGTCAGCCATTTTTTAATTTAGTCTTAGTCTTCTCTTAAATGTTCTATTTAGTTTTATATTTGGTCAACCTATTTGGGTTTTTTTTTTAATTGACTAAAAGGCAGGGAATTTAAGTCTAGTTTTAGTTAATAAAAAGTTATGTTTTTAGCAACTGTGTATAATGGTTAATCTGATTATCACAAAATGTCTTTCTTCATTTAATTAGATTTTCAATGAAGAAAATCTTCATTCTCCATTTAGAAAATCTTTGTTTGCACAAAATGTCCTCTCTATTAAAGGCTGCACACATTGGAATAGTATCCCAAAGGAAATCAGAGATAGCCCTTCTTTTGCCTCCTTTAAGAAACAGCTTAAGAGATGGCTGAACAAAAATCAATCATTAATCCATGTCACCCAAGATGTCCATGTCTTTCTTTCTTCAGTCGAAAAGAAATGAAGGTTTTTAATGAAAACATCCTCAACATACAGGATTTTATATAATGGACTTCAATGGACTCCAACAGTTTCAAGGTCCAAATGAGAGTTTCACTGCAGCTTCAAACGACACCAGACGACGAATAAGGGTCTTAAACGAACAAATCAAAATGAACAAATCTTTTTTCGAGTCATTTCAGAAGTCCACTATATGGAGAAAAATTCGTAATGTTTTCATCAAAAACCTTAATTTCTTTTCAACTGAAGAAAGAAAGACATGGATGACATTTTTTTTTTTTTTATATTCAAATTCAAATTTGTTTATAAAGCACTGAATAAAAAAACAGAGTTGACCATAGTGCTGTACAGGCAGTAAAACCATAAACAGAAGAATAAAAGAAAAATGTACATCCACATATCTAATTAGGTAATATAGGCTTCATCAATCAACAACATGTATTTATAAAGAGAATAAAAAACACTAGCACCCTTCACGCTCATCTTGATCGAACGCTATCATAAAAAAATAAGTTTTCAACTGACTGAGTGTAGGAAGGTCCCTAATATATAGAGGTAAACTGTTCCATAATTTAGGGGCTGCGACCGCAAATGCGCGATCCCCTCTAGATTTCATCTTTGACCGAGGAACGTCAAGGCGTTTCTGAGAATTTGATCGTAGTGATCTCATCGACTTTTGTTCCTGGATTAGATCTGCAATATAAGATGGGGCTAACCCATGTAGGGATTTGAATACAAAAAGCAACATTTTGAACTGAATCCTAAAAGTGACAGGCAACCAATGTAGTGCTTTTAATACCGGAGTAATATGGTCGAATTTGCGAGTGCCTGTCAACAGTCTTGCAGCCGCATTTTGTACCATCTGAAGTCTATCTAAGACTTTATTTTGGGCACCATAATATAGAGAATTGCAATCATCTATTCTTGAAGTGATAAATGCATGAATTATTTTTTCCAGATTTTTATGGGATAAAAAAGGCTTAATTCTTGAAATCATCCTCAGTTTAAAGAAGCTCGTTTTAGCGATTTCATTTCATCATCCCCAGATTTTTTACATGATGTTTTCTAAACAGGCTCAGAGGACCCAATTTGGTTTCGGATGTGTTTTCAAGGTCAGAGGGACCAAAAACAATCAATTCTGTTTTTGATTCATTTAGGCTCAGGAGATTTGTAGACATCCAAGCCTTAACTTCTTCTAAACATGCCAACAGTCTATCTATGGCAGTCAGTGGTGGAGGAAGTACTGAATCTCAGTACTTAAGTAAAAGTACAAATACCCAGATAAATATTTACTTTAGTAAAAGTAGAAGTAACACAATGACAACCATACTTAAGTAAAAAGTAAAAAGTACTTTATTTTAAATGTACTTAAAGTATTAAAAGTAAAAGTACTTGCATAACAATTTATTATCTTAATATCTATTTTCTAATGATTAATAAAACATTTAATTCTAACTCATTCAACCTAATAGCCTACTCCTATAATGATGTTCAATAATGATGGAAAAAAATGTCACCATTTCTGAAACAAGCTTGCAATTAGGCAATTTCATGCTTATCCTTACTATATGTTAATATGTTTGGCAGTAAACGCGATTAATTTATGGTGTAATTCTGAACCTCTTGGCTTGCCATAATCCTAACCAAACCAAACATATATTACACACGGTGTGTTTCCTATGCTCGTAAAAACAAATTTTCGCGTATGAGTTGCACGATAAACACACTGCGTGTGAGACGCATTTAGTGTGACCGGGTTGATGTATTTTATCTATGGCAACCAAACGTCACTGGTGAGACAAACGTGCAACGAACGGACGGTCAGATTACGTTTTGGCAGGGGAAAAACTGATCAGAAAATGTAACGAAAATGTAACAGAAGTTGTAGAAATGTAGTGGAGTAGAAAGTAGAATAATTGCTGCAAAATGTAACGAAGTAAAAGTGAAAAGTAGGCACTATTTATTGTACTTAAGTAAAGTAAAGATACGTGAAAAATGTACTTAAGTAAAGTAACGAAGTATTTGTACTTCGTTACATTCCACCACTGATGGCAGTGGGGTCATTTGATTTAAGTGGTATATACAGCTGCGTGTCGTCTGCATAACAGTGGAATGACACTCTGTATTTCCGCAAAATTGAGCCCAACGGGAGCATATAGAAAGAAAAAAGAAGGGGTGCTAAAACAGACCCTTGTGGAAGGCCACATGATAAAGGTGTCAAAGCTGATGTGCACTCACCCATACGAACAGAGAAACTTCTATTTAAGAGATAGGACTTAAACCAATTTAAGGCATTGCCAGAAATGCCTATAGTGATCTAATATATATAGTGATCTAATCCTTTAAATTGCTTCCAAAAAATAAGTGGCAACACATGTTGATGGTCCACTTTAGACATTCTACTAACTATACGTTACTTTGCAACTACATCAACATATTCTACTAACCTGAACCCTAAAGGCTAACCCTAACTTAAGTCTACTACAATCTACTAATACCCTGAGAGTTTGTTGACATTGTTTGAAAGTCACTTATAGTAAAATAGTAGACTGTCTGCATTATAAAATGTAAACCCCAAATTAATTGTTAGGGACCATGTACTTGGTGTTCATTTTGTATTGCAAAACTCTTCGTTTCTGGGGCTCTATGCAATTTTTGATGCAGCTTAGAATTACAATAGATTTCTGTAGATTTTTATGTTAATTTTTTTTTTTTTTTTTTGAGATGTTTCTTAATAAAACTTGTGAATGTTTTATTGTGGAAGTCTGTTGTGTGAAGATTGACAAAGACAATTCCCAACACTTCCCCAATAATTATTTTCATCTCAGTGCATGTTATTATTTCCATCACACAGGAGTTATGCAAGTGTTTTGGACATACATCACCCAGAAATCTTTTAAAATTCGTTCTCAGTTCTTTTTTTTTTTTTGATTTAACAGTCAGACATACCTACAAACCAACATAGTGCAACATAGTGAGCAATCTTGTAAATCCATAATTCCAGAATTGACAAGAGTGATTTAAGTGTTTGATCTAAGTGTGTATGTGAGCGGGTGTGAGTGTGGGTATGTGTGTGTATGCGTAAACAAACGTTTTATGTCAATTTTTATATTGCATAGAGAACATTTCTAATTGGTTTGAACCATTTCTATCTGTTTTTCTATACTGAATTACATTTGAGTCTACTCTCTTTATTTGTGCCTACAAATCCTGTCTAGGTAGGCAGCTCACCACATTTTTGTAAAGAATGTGCTCCTTTTTTTTTTTTTTTTTTAAATGGATCTCTAAATGTAGTCTAATTGTTGTTAATTTGTTCTCTGTAGGTGCGTGGATACCCAACACTCCTGATGTTTCGGGCTGGGGAACAGGGTGAGGAGCATAATGGAGGGCGGGACTTAGAGAGCTTGCACAGTTTTGTCATGAAGCAAGCAAGAGATGAGCTGTAACAACTCCCTCAATGTATCTCCCACGCTTCATCTACAAAACAACACTATCGTCATTTATTATACTGTCAGAAGGACTGTTTTTACTTCATTTCGGTCCCACACCTGCTGAAGTGAGGACAATCTCTTCCACATGGTAAAATGTGAATGTACATGATTCAATCTCGAGCAGTCGATGAGTTTATTAGCAAAATGCAACCATACACGTTTGATTGTGCCCTTCCTCCTTGAAAGAAACAGTTGTGGGTATGAAAAAGACACCTCTTCAGATCATTACATCGTTTAAGGTGCATATTTTGTACATTTGAGGAAATTAATTTAGCTTCCTTCGTTATGATTATCAACTAAGACTGAAAATGACCTCAGGGAGACCATCTAAAGATGGTCTTCTCAATTCAATGTTAAATAAATACTGTATGATGCACACTTAGAAAAGAGCACTTTCAGTTGGAATTTTAAATGCATTTCTGTTGTGATATTAGGTTCGAATTGGTTTTACTGTTCAGAGGTTAAAATAAAATAAAGGTAGTTTGTTAATCAGGGTGGGAGACCAGTTTAAATTGGCCAAGATCAAGCTGGTTTGGATGGTTGACCATAATCATCAAACCTGCCCAGTCTAACCAGCTTAATGGTCAGCAATGTTTAAGCAAAAGGTGGACGTTTGCATAACTACTTTGAATGGTTAGTTTTGTCTTCTAAAGCTTCTTAGTGCTCTTACAGGCATATGAGTGAGGCAGATACATTTTTAGACATACTGCCATTTATATTAAGCATTTTGGGTAATTTTCTCAAGGATCAGAACATTGAATCCATGCAGAATAGTTAATATTTGTTGTATAGTGACAAATTCTGAAAAAAAGAACGGTTTATTTTGTATTACAGTACAGGTTGTAAACATTAAAAGCAGTTACAGTACAGTAATATTTGTTTTTCTTGAAGTTTGTTCTGCAGATGTGGCTCTTGCTCATCATTTTTGATTGGATTTGGGGTTTTTTTTAGAGCGTTTGAGTCTCATTTTTGTCTCTGTAATGCAGTCTTGATGGCTTTCACATGCAGTCAACCACTTCATTCAGACACTAGTGTTGCCTGGTATCAATGCTTGAAGAATGTTGATAGTACTTCTATGTGTTCTCTGACGCTCTCAAGTGGTTTCATTGATTTATACGAATGTAATTTACATTTTTCCTTTTAAATGTTCCCACACTGAAATGTTTATTTTTCTCTTTTACTGGATCTGAAAGAGAAGGAAGGGAAAAGCAATCAGAGAAACCACATATATTCAGTCTTTATGGGAGGCACATGGTCAAGGCCGACCTCGATGAAAAACGCAGTATTTTTGTCGTTTGTGAGAGAGGTACACACATTGCCTGGGGGTTTTGTACAAAAAAAGGCACATTGACAAATTTCATAATAAAATGTCTTTTTCCAAAAATAGCCGTTTTAATTTTCTTTACTTTTGTTATATGATCTCTGTGGTGTATGATTCATAAAAGGAGCAATAAATAAACTGTAAAATGTACAAGTATTTACACACAAACATCCAAATATGGTTAAGACATGTAAACAGCAGTTTATGGGAGGTATGTGATATAATTAGTATCATAAAAATGACAATATTTGGAAAATTGTTATTGATGTTGCTACAATGATGATTAATACACATGTAGCCTGTCCAGAAAGAGCTTTGTACCATTCAACGGCTCACAGTGGGTAGCTGCATAGTAAAATTTTGACAATAAATATTGACATGAGATGGTGGAAAATCTACAGCCCATATGAGGATGTTGGCATAGAATATTGGTTTGTTGCTGAAAACGCTTAAATTATCCGTAGGTCCTTGTGTCTTGTGGGAGGTTTTGGATGTAAGCCATCCGAGGTGCAGGTGTTTCAGGAAAATTATAGATCTGTGGTGTTTGATGGCGTCAAAAAAAAAAAAGAAAGAGTTCCATCCTTGGAACGGCAACATAATGGTTCCGTTCTTTGAGTTCTGTTGAAGTGTGTAACCACTCGCTCTGAGTCACTGATGCAAACCACAGGTAGTGCAGAGCAAATATTGAGAAACTTAAAATAATTTGATTTTCTTGAGACCTAAAATAGAGTCCTGTGGGTTCAAGTGACTTCATCAAAAATAGACGAAACAGTAGAAACTTTCCTGTTCAGATTTCTTTGCTTCAGGATTTTTTTAGATAGAAAATGGGGTCATATCAAGAGGATCCAAAGTTTCTTTTGAGATAAAAGAGCTACTGTAACTCAAATTGTCTATTTATATTGGGGAGGACGTTCCTGAAAGTTGCAAAAACAACTTGTTCTGGAACTATTGAACAGCAGACAGATAAAGACTGTAGAACAAGATGTCTAAAGGCATAGCAGCAAAAAAAAGGTTTAAAATAGTATTATTTTGGCTTTTTTGGTACAACTTTTGTAATATTATAAGCGGAACTCAGAAATTAAATTATGTATGACATGACCCCTTTAAAGACTTTGGTAAGTAAACAAATTTAAATACGTATTGCATTTTAGCTCATAATTTACATTTTCTTTGGGTTCATTTTCTGATCTGTAGATTCAGATGGACATCCTCTCGGCAGGAAGATAAGGAGAAGCAGCAAACCTGGATCCACTGTCGAGACATACTCTCACATTTGTTCATAACGCTTGTCATTTCGTTTTGTCAGTCCTTACACACATTTGTCAGTGTCTGCGATGCAGCGGTCGGGCAGGAGGGTACGTGTCCCATGTCAGTGGCAGCCACATGAGCGCACCACCATGTTCTTGTACTTTTTCAGAATGACGTTGGAGTTGTCATCATAGAAGAGCACGGAGATCGCGTGCAGTTTGGTGGGAGCGCAACATGGCTTTGGGACGTTCTCTGGATTCATCAGATGGACCTGAAAAGTGGAGCAAGAATTATTATTTTTTTTTAACTTCTGTGAAAAACGTTTAAATAGATGTTCTGTTAGGGCTGGTATTTATTTTAAGAGGAAGAGCTCACCAGTGTCTGTACTATAGCATGATTAGTAGCATTCATATGGGCGTTTAGGGGAAAAGAGCATTCTCCATCACAGTAGCTTGCTGCGTAGCCCTCAGGTGCAATAATCCAGTCCTGACAAAAATCATTTAAAATTATTTAAAATTAAAATGGCTGCCCACACTTTATAATCATCAGATCCTGAAGCCTGCACCAGTTATGATATATGTAATGATGCATATGCAAGTCCTTCATCTTTACCTGCCAGCCCAGTTCTCTGAAGCTGACATACAGTTCATGCTTTTTGCAGGCGGTCTTCTGATCACTGCTGTTGTAATCTGCCATTCACAGAGAAGAGAGACATTAACACATGTTGGTTACAGTATAACATACAACACATTTAGCTGTATACTAATGACAATTTTTTCTTAAATGGGTGGTGGATTACGATTTCACTTTTCATTTTACATAGTGTGTAATGTTGCTGTTGGTGCATGAACAGCATCTGCAAAGTTGCAGCGCTGAAAGTTCAGTGTAAGCAGAGATATCGTTTTTTAAAAATCAGGAAGTATATTGCCTAGAAAAACGACTCGAATGGGATTACGGGTTTTAGATGTCACTAACCCATATATTTACATCAACTCCTCCCTCCGGAAAATGCAAAAAGGGGCATGGCCATATTTCTACGGCTCGTCGAAAGTGTGTTATTTTCACACAGCTGTAAAGTCTTCTGTTTTCGGGCTTGCCACGGACGTTGTAGTTCGTCAACAATGGATACAATTTATGTTTGAATATGTTCCTGAAAATTACAATCGTAATCTAGCTCTCTGTGCTGCGCATTTTACGAAAGACAGCTTCCAGAATCTCCACGAATTCAACGCCGGATTCAACAAGAAACTGTTACTAAAACATGAAGCAGTTCCACTTTTAAAACCAGAGGCAGCAGTTGTTGGGCCACAACCTGTAAGTAGGCTAAGACTTCATCATTTTAAATTTATTTGCATGTGTAATTTCAGACGTAATGTTTTAGTTTTATCAAATGCCAGTGCTGGCTTTATAACCACTAGGCTACTAGTTATCCCAGATAGCAAACTGACATTGAATCAACGTGGAAATATGACATTGAAACAACGTTGATCTGACATTGTTTTGCTCATCGAATTACCGTTGAACCAACGTCAGATGCGTCATTCTTTCAAAACTAACGGAAAATCAACTTGAAATCAACGCGTTGTTTCAACGTTATGAAAGCAAACCAATTTTCGATTTCATTTAGCTTTGAAGAATGCCGCGTCTGACGTTGGTTCAACGTTAATTCGATGAGCAAATCAACGTTGTTTAAATGTCATGAGAGACGTCGTTTCCACGTTGATTCAATGTCAGTTTGCTGTCTGGGATGCTATTTTGTGTCTACGACAAACGCGTTCAAACATTTTGGACCTGAATTTTGTATATGTACTACTGTTGTAAATGTATTTTTCATGTATATATACTTTATGGTGTTATTTTTCGATTTGATCAAGAACGTAAACCAGTGCCAATGCAGTTTGTGTATATAGTAGCCAGTTAGTTCGATGCTATTTTGTGTAAGACAAACGTGTATAAAGCTAAAAAAATATAGGCAAAATACCATTCAGAAACGTTTTGTAAGAGCCGTGTGTGGTGAGGTTCTGCTTGCCTCTGGCTCATTCTGGCTCATACTGATACTGCAGTATCGACACCATTATGTACATTTGACAGGAACAACATATGCAACTTCGCCCGTAAAGGTAATGGGCGTGAATTTTCCGTACAACGTGAGCTACAGTTTAGCCAATCACAACACACCAGCCCAAACTAACCAATCTGAGCCCACTGTCTGTTTCTGAGGGAGTGGTTTCATAGAATCAGGAAGTCAACCTGTCTTTCAAATGACAGAGGAGAAAGCAGCTTACAATAAAGGTGAAATTTATGAAAAATAAGACTTAAAAAAAAAAAAAAAAACACCCCTTTAAATGGTTCCCTTTTTAAAAAAGTGTGCTCAGTTGTATTAAGTTGTAGGGTAAGATCTAAATGTATATTTTCAATGTACTTTAAGAGAGCACACTTTCCTGTTTCTTAAAATTAACTACAGTTTTAAAAAGTAAACTTTGCAATGGTCAAATTAAAATTTGTTTTTTAGTACATTTAAAAACATTGTTTTAAAAAATATATTGTTGTGCTTAAAAGACACTAATTTGGATGTGCTTACGAACACAAAAGTGAACATGAAACTTCTGGCGTCATTTACACAGAGTTGTAATCATTTACATCCAAATTGTTGAATGAGAGTCACTTTTAATCCTTCTTTCCATCTTTATTCCATACAGTAAAAATAAATGGTGACTGAGGCTTTTTTTTTTAGCCTTACATTTCCTTTCATGCTCCTTGTAAGGAAGAACGTTATAAAGATTTGGTATAGGAGGGTGTCAAACACATGAAATATCTTTGGTGCACTTCTAACCAATAAGGTGCCTTTAAAATTCCTCTATTTAAAAGTTTTCTCAAAACCAGAATAAAGACGATATTTGAAGTGAGACTGTTAATCCTGTCAACATCACAAAACATTTGCTTTGCAACAATGTATCCTTTACCACTTTACCAGTTGCTGTCAGGAACATTTACCATTTATTTCAATTATCTGTACGGCTCCACCCCGTGAACTACGTAGCCACATGTCAGCAGCAGGTAGGTTTGGGTTTTCTGAAGAGGAAGGTCATCTCTGGCACTGACTCCTGCTCTGAATTCAAACTCTGACACAATCTTTCCACTGGTGTTCTCATACACTTTTTTTTTTTTTTTTTTTTTTTTTTTTGCTAAGTGCAGTGGAGTGGGAAAGGAGAGACAAAACTATGATATCAGTTCAGGCCAGCTGCAATCCCTTCCTGTTTTTGCTTTTTTTTTTTTTTTTCAGGTCCCCCCACCAAAGGAGAAAAACTTTGGCCATCCAGAGATCTTGCTCAACAAAATGCAAGACAGGTAGTTAGAAGAAGTACCACCATTTGATCAAACTAACCCCCCACAATCCCATACACCAAACTTTTGCCATGTCTGAGAGCATACTGGCTGTTATACTGTTTGTTTTCTTTTCAAACAGCCTGCTGAAGCCTCCCTAATGATGCCATACTGTAATTCATTACTGTAATGACATTATGATGTAAGTAAATTTAATTTACTGCTCTCATAAGACAAAACATTATATGGTGATTCAACTTGACAATGAAAACCCATTATAAAGCTGAGAAAAACAACTAACCCAGACAGCAAACTGACATTGAATCAACGTGGAAACGACGTCTCTCATGACATTGAAACAACGTTGATTTTGCTCATCGAATTAACGTTGAACCAACGTCAGACGCGGCATTCTTCAAAGCTAAATGAAAATCGAAAATTGGTTTGCTTTCATAACGTTGAAACAACGCGTTGATTTCAAGTTGATTTTCCGTTAGTTTCGAAAGAATGACGCGTCTGACGTTGGTTCAACGTTAATTCGATGAGCAAAACAATGTCAGATCAACGTTGTTTCGATGTCATGTTTCTACGTTGATTCAATGTCAGTTTGCTATCTGGGAATACACCTGTCGAAATAAATGTTTAATGGTTTGATAATAATAATCATAATAATGTACATATGATCAACACAACAAATCTGTATTTCGCTTAAAGCACACAAAATGTGTTCCCCTAAGTTTGTACATTGGTTTCACATTTGCAGGAAACACTTCGTAGGACATTAGAAGGAAACCGCCATGGGGAGATGTCTAAAGCACACTAGGTAATGACTGGGGTACCCCAGGGTTCGATTCTTGGGCCTCTTTTCTTGGCAATATACACAATATTTACAACTCAGCCAGCCTGGCAACTCCACACAACATCACAGTCCAGCTGGGCTCAACAACACTAACAACATCCAAGTCAGTCAGGAACCTGGTGGTAATGTATAATGCAACCCAGGCTCATTGGAAAAACACGCCCGAGGCCACATTTCTGCAAAATGATGTTACATTGCCTATTGCATGTTCCATTCCAATTTCAAAGTGAACTCTCCAGTAAGTGTTCATTTTTATGAGCTGAACTTGAATCTGGCACTGTTTCGTTGCAGGTATCATGACAGTTCGGAATTGAAAGTGGCGCTTTATGCTTGATCGCATTTGAAAATAAGGTACCACCTAGACTAAACCCTAAACATACCCGCTAGTGTTAACAAGCAAGTTGAGTTTTAAGGTAGTAGTTTATTGAAACTCACAGTTTTGATAACGGGAGTGATATTTCTGAAAAACATGCAAAGCAGTTGAACAATCACACACTGTTCCAGCTTTTTTTGGAAGGGTTGGGATTTAAAGAAACAGGAGCTTTACTGACAGATTGGGAAGAGAAGTGCTACAACAATGTAAAACATGTGGAAAATTATGTGTTTTTGGACATTCGCGCATAAGGGCATAATATGGCCTCTTTAACTTCACCCATAACTTTACTATGCCTAGCCATAAAGATATCTCTAATGTTCTCAACATTTAGATAGAACTGACCAAATTTGCATTGCATATTTCCTGTGTTTAAATATATTGTCATTATCTCTGAAATGAGTGAGCATTTCTTAAGATAATAGCAAAAATCTTTCAAATTAAGAATGTTTTTGGACAGTTCGTGTTATTCATCTAAAAAAAAAACTACCTTTATTAACAACATGATTGTCTCTGAGTAATGTAGAGAAGAAATTAAGGCTGTAACTGAAACCATATGGTGAGTGTGTAGACAAATCTCTGAGGTCATCCTAAGAAATCAACAATCATCCAGGGCTAAGGTGTTTCCCACTTTCTCCTTTAAGAGAAAGTTCATTGAAAATCAACTGTTGATGCAACTGGTTGGCAAAAGCTTCTTGGTCTTAAAGCTGTGATTGTATTTAATAAAATACTGTCATTCAAATTTTCATTGGGGACCCAACTGATACATTTTATTAACCATCTGAATCTACCAATGTCATGTCAATAAATGTAAAAAGTCAGCCAGCTATTTATTATCATGTCAATTATTGTGCCTTTAGCCCCAACAGAATTTGCTACGATTTTTATCCCAAATACCATACTTTTATTGGCCACTGATGCAACAACAACCAATCAGCTGTGCTATGTAGATAATGACTCATACTCCCAAATGAGTTAGACCTATCAGCCTGCTCCATCTACAGTTTCAAGCCAGAAGGTAATCATTTAATTACCTTGATCAAACCTGAAAATCATTATCAAGACTTTTTTTTCAAAATATATTTGGCAATTTTATTGATTGTCAATTGCTACATACATCTATAACACTTTAA